ACTGACACACTGACTGGTTCACTGAGTCACTGACTAACTCACTGACACACTGACTGGTTCACTGACACACTGACTGACACACTGACTGGTTCACTGAGTCACTGACTAACTCACTGACACACTGACTGGTTCACTGAGTCACTGACTGACTCACTGACACACTGACTGGTTCACTGAGTCACTGACTGGTTCACTGACACACTGACTAACTCACTGACACACTGACTAACTCACTGACACACTGACTGGTTCACTGACATATTGACTGGTTCACTGACACACTGACTGGTTCACTGACATATTGACTAGTTCACTGACACACTGACTGACACACTGACTGGTTCACTGACTCATTGCAACACTAACTGACTCACTGACACACTGACTGGTTCACTGAGTCACTGACTGGTTCACTGACACACTGACTGACACACTGACTGGTTCACTGAGTCACTGACTGGTCCACACAGTCACTGACTAGTTTCCCTCGTGCTGTTTTGGAGGTGAGGGTGAGGATGAGGCACCCACATGCTGAAGTTGGTGATGAAGGCGGTCTTGGGCAGCTCCACATCAAACAGGGCCTCTCTGGAGACGTTGGCGTGGTTGACGGCGCGGCTGGTCATGATTGTGTGGGCGAAGCGCGACGTCACCTTGCAGTCGATCCTCACGCTGTAGACCTCGATATCGGACTGCCCCTGCGGCCGGAGAGCACAGCGCACACAGCCCTTCACCAGGTTCTAACCCCGGACCCCGACAGGCCCGGCTCACTCCGCAGAAGCAGTGTAAACGACGCGAGCGTATCAGCAGGGTTTGAGCTACTCTGTGGCCAGGCCGTGAAGACTAACAAACGTTCCTGCCGGCTTTTCGCAACATTTATTGCAGACTGCTGTACAGCCCCCCCTGCACCTTCCCAGCGCCCAGGAAGACGGCACCCCTCCTGCAGGCCACTGGGTGCCGATCCGGGTCCCCGGGGCCAGACTCACCGCGTCGTCGGCATTCCTCTTCTGCAAAACAAACAGAATCAGGGACAGGGGTCTTACAACACAGCCCAGCGGCTCAACAGTCCAAACAGGTCCTCTGCAGTTTGATTTTAGTGGAGTTGCGCAATGACCCTCTCCTGGCAAACATATTCAAAAGCTTCTGCTCGTTTCTTCTGCTTAGATATGCTACTTCAGTCTCCCTGGGCCCGGGTCTGAGGGGCCTGGGGCAACCAGAGCGCCCCCTGCCTGCTGGGCTGGCCAGTGCAGTGCCTGTGAAAGCAGCGCTCCCCCCTCCCTGCGGGGGCACAGGACTGGCCAGTTCAGCCCAGCCAGGGAGAGTATGAATTAGAGAACAACCTTCGCTGCAGCTGTTTCTCAGGGTTTTCCGTCTTGCCCTGAGGGGAACTTGCAGGATGTGGGTTAATCTGGACGGGAGCGCTGCTCTTCACGAGATGAATGGCCTATTCACTTCCCTCCTGGTGCCGTGTGCTGCTGGCACAAGACTGCGCCGGGCGCTTCGTGCTGTAAGAGCGCTCTTGTCGCGGCGTGAGGGGGGGGGGACCGTACCTTCAACAGCCTGGCCAGCGGGTCTGCAGACGCCGCCTGTCGCAGG